GATAACAGAAGACAAATATGAAAGAGTTACAATACTATAAAATAGTATAAGAATACTCTTTGATCCAATGATACCACTACTAGCTTCATGTCCCAGGAAGGTCAAAGCCAGAAGAGAAGTCAGAGGTATAAAACGTTTATAGCAGAACTTTTTGTATAACAAAGAACTAGCAACAATGTGGGTGCCCGTCAGCTGGGGACAGAACAAATTGGAGAATAAGAATGGAATGATAAGATATTGTCACAACATGAGGCAAGACAGATATGAAGAATTCCAAGAAATTTGTGAAGCCTCATGTGAACCAATAAGAAAGGTGGTATGCAAGATAGTGTGATTAGCATGGAGTCAGGAAGATTTAAGTCCAAATTCAGCCTCAGATACTTACTAGCTGTGTGATCCTTAACTGTAACATGGGGATAATAATAGGACCTAACTCACAAGGTTATTGTGTGAATGAAATGAGATACTATTTGTAAAGCATTTGACAAACTTTAAGGCACTACATAGTGATATGACCAGCTATGATGATGAAGAAAAGTGAAATGGAACCAAGAAAACCCTTTAGACAATGACCACATGTAAAGGAAGTTAATAATAAAGGGCATTAAAACTTTGACCGCTGTAGTTACCAATTTTGACTTCAAAGGACTAGAAATGAAGCATATCTTTCCTCTTTTTGTAAATAGGTAGTAGACTAGGGATGAGATGAGGCATAAGGTATGAGATGTAGTCAATGTTTGGATGTGTTATGTTAAACTACACTTTTTTTGTTATGGGGAGTCACTGGGAAGGGACGGCGACGTTGAACAGAACGCATCAGTAAAATTTTAAAATAAACATAGTGTAAGAAGTTTTGGAGCCTTCAAAATAAGCAAAGCCTGGCGATAAATGCCGAGGATAACAAGTAAGAGTTGTTTCAACCATGTTGAGGGCAAGAAAGTCAAGTAAGATTTAAAAATAATAGGCACAAATTAAAATTCTATAGGTTATCCCATTATATGTATTATTTCATTTGATCTCAGCATAGATGTGTGAAGAAGGTAGATGGGGAAACAGTGTAGATAGTTTGTCTAGATTATAACAAAGAGCAAAATGAGCAGAACCGAGAGAACATTATACACAATAACAATATTGTTTTAAGTATGACTTTGAGCAAATAAGTTATTTTGTCTATTATAAACACCCAAATTAACTATAAAGAACGTAACTACATAAAGAGAAAGAACTGATAAACAAGAAGTATGTATAGAATAATATTACATATATATATATATATATACTTATTTGTGTCTAATGGTAGTCATCTTTAGGGAGGGGCAGGGAGGAAAGAAAAAAAGAAATTTACATGATAATTTTGTTATATATTTGAATGGAATAGCAAGGTGTGCATAGTAGATATGCAATTTCATGTACAATCATCTTTTTTATTGTACTAAGTTATGGAAATGTTTGTTGTATTCTACAAATTAAAAATAAAATAAAAATAAACAAACAAAAAGAGTTATTGCTCTAGGCAGCTAGGTGGCTCTGGAGTGTTGGGCCTGAGTTTTGAAGAACTAAGTTCAAATCATCAGACGGTTACTAGCTGCGTGGCCTTGGTCAAGTCACTTAACCTGTATGCCTCAGTTTCTTCAACTGTAAAATAGGGATAATAATACTTGATAGAGTTGTGAGGATAAAATGAGTCAATAATTGTAAAGTCCTTAGCATAGTGGCTGGCAAGTAGTAAATACTATATAAATGTTAGCTATTATTCATTTATTCATTTATTTATTATCTGGTTCAATGTCAACATAGCAGGATGTCTCTAGTGTAGTATTCCAAAAAAAATCTTCATTAATTTATTATTTATTTATTTATTGAATATTTTTATTAATGACTTGGATAAAAGTAGAGATGGTATACTTGTCAAATTTGCAGATAATAAGTTGGAAGGAATAGTTAGTTATCACACTACAAAAAGGTCTTGACAGAAACAGCAGTCAACAAACTACAGCCAGAAGGAGCCTGCTTGGTTTTGTATGTTCAATGAGCTAAGTATAGTTTTTGCATTTTTGAGTAAAGTTTTATTGTATATAAAAATGTAAAAACCTTTCTTAACTCACTGTCTAATAGAAAAACAGGCAGTGAGATGGACTTGGCCCTCATTCTGTAGTTTGTTGACCCATATGCTAGAGTATTGGGTTGATCTGTCTGATAAGTCGAAATTCAGTAAAGGTAAATGTAAAGTCTTACACATGGGTAAAACAAAATAAACAACCAAAAAAAAATTGGGGCAGTTAGGTGGTACAGTAGAGTGTCAGGCCTTGAGTCAGGAAGACTCATCTTCTTGAGTTCAAATCTAGCCTCAGACACTTACAAGCTGTGTGACCCTGGGCATATCATTTAACCCTGTTTGCCTCACTTTCGTCACCTGTAAAATGAGCTGGAAAAGAAGATGGCCAACCACTCCAATATCTTTGCCAAAAAAATCCAAAATGGGGTCAAGAAGAGTTGGACGTGACTAAAAAACTACTCAACAACAACAGAAACAAAATTCAATTTCACAAGTATAAGATTGGAAAAGCAGATGTGGACAGATATGGAAAGATCTGAGGCTTTGAGTGGACTATCACTTCAATATGAGTCTGCAGTGTAGTGTGGCAGCCAAAAAATTCATGCAATCTTGGAATGAATAGAAGAGGCATAGCTCACAATAACTGAGAGGTGACAGACCCAGTCCACTCTGCCCTCATCGGTCCTCACCTGGAATATTGTGCTTAGGTCTAGGCACCATAGTTTAGGAAGAACACGAATAAATGTAAAGGAACTGAGAGACGTTTAGCCTGCAGCAGAAGAACCAGATTTTTTTTTTCCTTCCAATTTGGCCCCAGAGGACTGAAAGAAAAGCAAAGGATAGAAGATGGAAAGAAGCAATTTCAGATTCAGTTTCAGGAAAAACTTCCTAAAAACTGAAGCTGTCCCAAAGTAGAGTGGGTTGCCTTGGGAACTGCTGGGGTCCCCCTCATTGGCAGTTTTTAAACAGCCTGATGGATCACTTGCTGACTATGTTACAGGGGAGCTTTTTTTTCATATAGAGAATTGTTCTAGGGATACACGGAGGTGGGTACCTTTCAATTCTCAAGTTTTGTGATTGTATAAAACAAATATCATTATTCCCAAGTTGTATATTAGGAAAATGAGGTAGATAAAAAGAAATCTGTGAAAAGTTATGTGGCTGATAAGTGCCAGAGGTGAGATATGAACAGAAGATGAACCAACATGGATAGATTGTATGTGAAAGACAGCGCTGGAAGGAACACATGGAGTAGATTATGGATGCATTTGATTATATGGATGTGTGATAAGAAAACTATCCTAATAATTAGAGTCATTCCAATCTGAAATCATCCTTCCCAGAGTTCTCTTCAATGAACATCAATAAGTGGAAATCAATATGACTATCTGGAGGCAGCTGTAGAGGGGATTCCCGCTCAGACATGGGTTGGACAAGGTGGTTTCCTAGATTGTTCCCATCTCTAAAGTTCCCTGACTTGTGATTATTAACACTCATTGTGAGTAATGAAACTATTTCAATTTGCTGCTTTGAAGGAAGATGTGGGGGACCACAGACGATATCATCCTTTATGATAAAACATGGACAGGTCTATATTTTAAGTTGATAGAGTTAAATGTTTTAGCACTAAGTCCCTTCACAGACTGACATTTCTGATGAATTAGCTGGTCTTTACTTTGGTGGTTCAGGGACCTAGGGAACCTAGAAAGTCTTTTTATAATGAATAGAATTCTAAAATGTGGTACTGAATAAAACAGCAATTAAAAGGATTCAAGAATGTGAGAATTACTTATCTATAAGAGTTAGTATGCTCAATACATGAAAGTTATGGTTTTCCAAATGCTAATGTAAATACAATTGCTTTCTAAATTGATACCCATTACTGGAGAAAATTATTTTTAAGGATTTTATTCTTAGCAAACAGGAAGCAGCATGATAAAGTCATTCATCACAGTGAGCTTAAAATTGGCATAGCTCATGTCAAGCACAGATTTTGTAGATTTCATGGTCAATTAGGTAAATACATGTATAAAATGGACCTAGTACTGAAGATCACAAAGCCCATTACCGATAATACTTAATTTCATTCCTCTAAATCCCAGAAGTGATTTTTCCCCCTTCACAGATTTGAGATGTCCAGATAAAATAAAACTTATTTAGAGCATCATAACGAGCTTTGGAACACCTTGGGAACAACCAACTAATTAATAAGTACTGTCAGATATGACACCCCATTTATCAAAGATATGTTTTTAAAAATTCTATTTAATTGCTGACTAAAGTGTCTTTCATGACTGATAGATAATATTTTAAATAGGTATTTTTTTCCCACTTGAAATATAAATTTTAGTTAGTTGTTTAGATTTGTGTATTTCATGTATTTGGATAAAATTTGGATTTTATGTATTTTATAGGAAACTTGCTGAATAGTGTTATATATTGTAGCTTTCTGTTCTATCATTTTATGCAAGTTTTGTATTAAAACAAGAATAGGATTAAATGAACTTTTTATACTTTAAATATTCAAGAGTTCTTTATTCAAAAATTTCTTCTCATGCTGTCAAACTAGTTTGCCTGAAGGCAATACGGTAAGATCAAGTTAGACTCTCAAAGGTAGAATTAAATTTTATCATGGCATCCATCATAATATACAGTTTGCTTAATATGCAAATAAAAAGTATACAGATTCAGAGAATAAAGGATTTTTAGGCAGTGTATAAAATTCAAGGCACTACTTTTACAGAAGAGATTTCTTTTAAATTTACATTTCTATCATTTTAATGAAAACATGGGATAAACAAATTATAATGGACGAGATTCAACTTCTCATTTTTCAATTTGATTTTGCCTCCATTGTTGACTCTTTTAACAGCCATTCTTTATTTAAAACTAATAAAAAAAATAGGACAAAAGAAGTAAAGAAATATATTAAGGAAAGCATTACCTCAGCCATTTTGGAAAGTTCAGTCCAGTCGTTTTTGTTGTAAGTACACATGAGGCTAGCAATCACAATCTATAAAGAAAAAAAGAAAGAAAGAAAATGAGTCCCATCTAACTAACCATTTGCCTAGAAATATGTCAATATGTGTGTGTGTGTATAGATATATGTAATATATCTATACACATACATATATCTATACACACATACACAAAACACACACACACATATATCTGCTCACAAAATACAACCCGATACGAAATAATTTTCAATTTTATGTAAGTTTAAAATCATTAAGGTCCAAATGTTTTAAATTATGAAAAAGAAAATGCCAGCAAGGTCTTTCCATATTAATTTAATATGCTATAGTTAAAAGGTATACATACTTATACATATACATTTATAATACACATACATATGTATATACCTAGACCCATGAAGTCATTGGTTTAGGAAACTCCTGTTGTGGTAATTCCCTCCACTGTTGAGGACCTGCAACTCATCTGCATTCTAGAGTTGCCTGGGGCACAGAGAGGTTAGACTGAGTTGTCTATGTTGCCAAATACTTAACCTATGTCAGAGGCAGGACTTGCACCCAGTTCTTTCTGATTTCTAGGCTGACCTGCTTACTCTACCACCCTGAAGACTTCTGTTTTTTAGGGGAACACTAGCCATTCCTATGACAGGTTGTCAGGGGATTCTATCCCCAAATGCATTTCTAGTCACCTGTGTCCTTTCTCCTTCTCTGGACCTCCCATCGCTAGAATTTTTCACTTTTTCACCTCATTCACTGAGATCTACCTGCTTATAACTTCAGATCTCAAAAAGTAATCAGAGGCAATTCCTTATGAAACACCTAACACTCTAAAATTACTCAACAAACCTTCTGTTTAGGACTGAATCTTGACATCCCCAGAGAAGAGTGGCAATTGTCTGATATAACCTGGGTTCTGGGTCACGGAATCCACTTCTCCTGGGTCACTTATTTCCCTCCTTTTCCTGCTATGGCCTCACCCAGCCCCCGATGACCCCTTGTTGTCTATGTAACAGATTTACTTGGTTTCTTTAGAAAACCAGTTGGATACTTGTCTCTTCACAGGGGTCCTGGTGTTTCTTAGCATGCATGTATGTGTGTATATGTGAATGTAAGTAGATATGAATGTAAATATGTATATACATGCGCATGTATGTGTAGACAGCATGGTGTAGTGAATAGAGAGTTGGTTTCACAAATAGAAAGATTTAGATTTGTCTTCATGCCTACTATATGTGAAACTAGCAAGTTATTTAGACTCTCATTGTCCCTAGGGAACCCTCTAAGACAAATTAAAAACAAAAACAAGTTCAGATCTGCATAGGAGAAAGGAATTTCCTCACCCAGGGTTCTAACATCAGTGAAATCGCAGGTCCAGAAAATAAATAAATGAAGGAATAGCTAAATAAATATGGGTATATATATAGACATACATCAGAAATGTCACTGAAAGGTCAACGAAGGGCCTTCCAACTCCAAATTCTGTGATTCCAAAGAGTTCAACTTTACTCTTGTTAAATACCTGGTATGCATAAGGCACTACAAAATCTCTATCTATCCATCCATCTGTGTCTCCTTACTTTATAGGCCCCTACCATTCACTGGCTGTGTATAGCGTCTTTTAGTCTACATGGACATATAAATGTGGCTGCAGCCTGACTGGAGTAAGTATAGTGCCTGGCACATATCAGGTACTTAATAAATGTTTATTGACTGACTGACTGGGATGAGCTTGACTTTAGAGTATTCAAATGCCCATATGAGCTCCACTGAGAAAGTAATGCAGACACCAAATTAACAGAATGAAAGAAAATTGTATAATCATTAAATACATATGGAGGGCATTTAGTGTGCAATGAGGTCCAAAAATCCCAGTCTTATAAAAAATTTTGCTTTATGGTGAAAAATCTTATAAAAAAGCAAAATATAATTTTAAATTTCATCTCGGTAAATATATACATATAACTTTAAAAAAAATGTGAATGTTGAATCATAGATGCTTGGAGCTAGAAGGGCCTTAGAGACTAGCTAACCCAACCCCCTCAAAAGCTTATAATAGCAAACTCTATATTTATGGGAAAGAATTATTTTAAAAATCACATATTATAGGAAAATGCCAACCAGAATGTCGTTTTACAAGTTAGCTTCTCCCTTCTGAAAATCATTGGGGAAAATGAAAATATGAACTTTTGCTCAATGGAAAAAAGAGAAAGAAAAATGTACTTTCCTCAAAAATTAATAAACAAATTAAATAATTTTAATTATCCAAATTACAGGTCAAATATTATTATCCTTATGGAAAAGACCATTATATTAGTTATTTACACTAATCTATAATCTAGTTTCCTTGGACCAAATTAGGGTGGCAAGGGAATGTGCAAGTTGTCCTTCTCAAATTCCAATATAATTTAAGGAAACTAAGCTAGAAATAGACTCTGACAACAGCATTTTATATTCTGTAGCCATACTGTGAACTGCATTGGAAATCTAGACAACAATTCAACTTCAAGACAAACTAAATTTTTTAGCAGGGAAAAGCTGCAAAGTGACAAAGGTGAACAACTGTAAGTTACAAGTAGCTGAGTTGGGTTTTGTCAGACAATTTCACAAAATCACTCCCAGCTCTATTGGGATTATGTGAAGAAGGATGAATAGCTTGGGATGTGATGTTTCAAAGGCCTGTTAATTAAGAAAGCATGTTTATTAAATATTAATTAACTTTATGCTGTTCAAATGTTAAACTAATTTTCTGCCTGGAACATAAAGGGCACTGTCAACAATGCCACTTGAGCAAAGTTACTGCAACATCGCTGAAATGTACACATTAAAAGTAATCATAATAGAGTCTTTAAAGTTGTATTAACTCACAGTGCTTCTTTTAAGGTCTTAAATGATGACATTACCATCTTCTAAATCACATTTTTACATTCCTTAAAAAGTGACCTTTTCTTTGGAGTCTACAAATCATTTTCTATAGCTCCAAAGTACAAATGTGTACATTAAGTTTTATCCTATTGCTTTCCATGAAAGAGAGGAGCTGTGTTGCTGAAGAAAAGCACTTGGCCTCAAGATGTAATGAGCTAATCATAAAAAATGCAGAGACATCGAGAAATGTAAACAATAGTAAAGGTCAATAGAAATGAAGAAGAGTTGTTGTATTCATTGCCAAAACGAATAAAGAGCTTAAAGAACAGAAGAAATGTCATGAGTAATACATGCACCATACCAACCAGACTAAAGTTCCAAATTCCAAGAGAAACTATATTTCCAAGGGCTGCAGGAAGGAAGATGGATGGCTAGAAGGATGGGGTAGTTACATTTCCAAGATCCATTCTCTTCTCAGGATGCCAAAGTCTTCACCTTGTAATTGGTTACAATCCAAGTTTTTTCAAATTGCCTCAAACAAACAATGTTGGAGACATAAAATATGATTGGCAATATTAAATAGCACGTTCTCTAAAAAAGGGCTTAACATGCATTCACATTCCTTTTTTTCTTGCTCCATGGGAAAATACAAAATGTGATGTTCCACTGGATGGTCTTTTTCAGGAATTGGTTGAAATTGATGGATTGTGAAGACATTTCCAGCCCCAAGATTCTATTCTGGTCTTGCATTCTCATTCTATCCCTAGATATCGCTTTTTTCTGACCACTATGTGAGTGCTTGCCCTGTGTGAGTTCTCCATAAAATAGTCTTTTTGGCAAGTGTACATTTGGCATTCAAACAATGTGGCCAGCCCATCAGAGTCAGAAAAAGTGATACAAGGACACTCTCAAGGTCTCTCTTAAAAACTTTGGAATTGATTGTGTGACATGGCAGACACTGACATAGGACCGCCCAGCATGGCATGCCCTCATCAGAGAAGGTGCTGCTCTCTACGAGCAAAGCAGAATTGAAGAGGCTCCAAAGAAACATGAGATGCACAAATTTAGAGAACCCATCCCAAATGTTCACATGGATTATTTGTGCTGGACCTGTGGTAGAGCATTCCAAGCTCATATTGCTCTGATCAACTACAGTCGGAAATACTGTAATTTTACTCTGACATAGTGATGTCATTTTGGTCCTCGTTGAGAACAAAGGACAACAACCAGACCAGAACCCCTACATAAGTGTGACTAAGTCAGAAAAAGAAAAAAATTGCTGAGACTATATATGTTTTCTTTCATGACCAAAACACAGTATGCAACCTTTGGAATACTACTCTTACCATTTGGACATCTTGGAGAAAGGGGCTAAACTGGATACTCTACAGAAGACCGGTCACATGCTGGCATATATGTAACAGCAGGGCAAGGAGGGCTAGGATGAGAGTCTGGATAGGTAGCAAAAGTCTTGCAGTTACCACGGACTGGCTATCGAGAGGCTTAGTTTCAAATAGAGTAGGGCACAGAGCCAAAAGGATCAACTGGAAATGATAAATCAGAATGGCAAGAAGCTGAGTTTCCAAAGAACTCAGATAAAAAAGAAAGGATGGGGCCTCAGCTTCTATAGGAATTGGAAGATAGGATTTGGACTCTGTTGAAACAGGAATTCGACCTGCCCAGCACATATTAAGTACTTAGTATACACCAGGCACCAACTATACTAGGCGCTGAAAGAAAGATAAAAAAGGATAAAAACCTAAGACAAAAATAAAAATGCCCTTCCCTCAAGGACTTCTCATTCTTCTGAAGGGATCCAACTTGACGTAGGCTCTGTTTGTCTGGATTGCCATTCGACTTTCATCTGAGCTGGGTTATACAAAAGTCATAGGTTTTTACAAGCTCCTTATTTTATAGATGGAAAAACTGAGGCCCAAGTAAAGAATGTGATTTATTCAATGTAAGTTAGAAGACAGACCTAGGTTTCTCTTGGGACAGTTAGGTGGCATAGCAGATAGAGTGCCAGACCTGGAGTCAGGAGTTCAATTCTACTCTCAGACACTTACTAGCTGTGTAACTATGAGTAAGTCACTTTATCTGTTTGCCTCAGTTTCCTCATCTGTAAAATGAGCTGGAAAAGGAAATGGCAAACCATTCCAGTATCTTTGCCAATAAA